CTGCTGGGGTTTTTGCCACCCTGCCCTGCTTTACTCCTTCCTTTAAGGAAATGTTGATAATTACCCTGAAATATTTTGAGAAAATATAGAGAATACTGCATTCAGACTCTGAGCTTTTGTTTAAACAACCTCACATTTTGGAGTCAGTCAGATCTTGAGCTCACTTACCCTCCTACTTGGAGCTACAAGGAGTTGAATTAAAATTTTAGATTTGAGTCTCGGGCAACCATGGGAAAAGTGCTCTTTGGATGTGAAATCCTTGCAGATGACTGAATTTCACACAGTGCCTTCCCAGGTGCCTCAGGGTCAGAAACCGGAGATGCAGCCCTGGTGCTGGAGCTGAATCCAGGTGTTGCTTTCTCCTCGTGTAGGTGCTGGACAGTATTTACCCTGTCAGCTGGGTGCTTGGCCTCGTTCCTGGTCTCATGAGGTGCGTGTTTCGGCTGTTGTTGCAGCTGAGTGTTGAACTAGGGCTGCTAAGGTTTGCAAGGTTTGAAGTTCCCCTCCTTCCCCCCTCCGCCAGCAGGTACGGTGCCGGGCTGCCTTCCCTGAAGCTCACGCTGCGTGTCCCTTCGGGCGCTGCTCGCTGGCTTCCTCTGCTGAGGGGTCTCGGACGCTCTGCTGCAGGCCTGGTGTGGCTCTGGACAGAGTTGTTCAGGTAACCAGCGAGCAGAGTTGGGTCAAAGTCCTTTAATGAAGGTTGGAGGAAATGCAACGCATGCTGTAGAAATCCCGGGAACTTCAGGAAATCACGTCGTCGGTGAATCGGGGACAGCAACGCTGCGTGGTCACGTGTGCCAAGGTCATTCAGAATCGGGAGTAAAAGTTTTGTTCCCTTTATTGCTTTCTGTTGCTTTTGCACTACACCCCTCAAAATCAAAAGCTGGGTGAGAAAGTGCCCAAGCAGCGGCAGGGCCCCTCGGGTGCTGGGGAAGGACTGGGCAGCTCCACAGCTGGTGAGGTTGCCTTACCGGGGGGACCCTTTTCCCCTTGTTCCACTTGTATTTAATATAGCTTCTTCTTGAAGGTAACTGGGGGTTTGAGCGTAACCTGGTAATTCCAGGTTGCAGTATACATGCTTTTCTATCAAATTTCCTAAAGATGCACTCCAGCGTTTAGGTCAAGCCCAAGATTCTCCTGTGGACAGGCTCTTTCGGGATGTTTCTTAGACATCTGAACCCCCTGATATTGGCCACTATATAAGACAGGATACCAGACTGTATGCATCACTTCTCTGATCCCTTGCTTGATGAAGTAAGGGTTTATTTTCCAAATATTTGTATATTACTGTGAAGAAGTCATAGCTCTAGGCATGCTGTTGGTGCACCATTTTTTGTTGCAGCTCCTTGGAGGCTGTCAGGAATGAGATCCACTGACCTTCATGGACGGCGAGTTTGGAGATACTTGATTAAGGCTGTGAGATGTCTAGATGCCAGGGCCACTGGCGCCACAGGACTTGTATAAATAAATTTCATTTGTGCTGTGTTCACACAATTGAAGCCGGAGACCTGGATCGCATTTAATGAGGTTTATTTTGCTAGTCAGGCCACACGGATTTCATTTACTTTGCCTAGTGTTCTAAAAACATATAGGAACGTGTGCACATCAAAGCTAAGCTTAAGAGCTTGAATAAAATCCCCAGCAGTAAAGAAGTGCCCTGACGGGTTTGTACCAGTGTGAAGTCCGTTGAGCTAAGATTTACACTTGATAGTAAAAAATACAGGGTATTTTAACCGAAGAAGCCCGCCCTGCCCTGCATGGGTGGTTGGTTATGACCAGCTGCAGTCCCGCGGCTGCTGTTTATCTCTCGGCTGTTGGGTGTCCTGGGTCAGTGCTGGGAGAACTGGGAGCGGGGGACGCCTGGCTCACGAGGTTCCCCTGTCTCCTGCACGCTGGCTCTAGTTCAGGAGGCGATCCGGAAATGCAGTGTCTTTTCCCAGGATGCTGTTATCAGGGCTGGTCTCTGGGCTTGTCCTTACCTCCCTGGAAGCGACCGTCGGCATTGTCCTGGGGCTGTCACAGGGCCAGGGCGGGCTCCTTGGTAAAACGCTCAATAGCTCTTTGCCAATTTAAAAATAGAAAAGGAAGAATTGAAAATGTTTTGTTGTGGATTGATTTCTTCTGCTGTACAATAGAGCGCAGTGATGTGTTTACACATGGACACAAGCAAGGAGGGCTTTGGGAAGGTGTTGTAGAAGAAAGCATTGCTCGGGGTGCTGAGTCCATCCCTGCGGGCTTGCACGAGGGACTGATCCTGCGCCTACACCGGACCCCTCCAAGGAGTGGGCACAGGCTCCCGGCCGGGTCCTGCCACAGCTCTTGAAGGTCCGTTAATCTTGTTCAGCTCAGTAATGTTTGCCCTTGGCAGAGAGGCCTTGCGATTTGTGGGTTTGGACCTTGGGAGTGGGAAGTGACTGGATCAGGCCGTTTCTCTCCACGCGGTGCTGGGACGAGGGAGAAGGACGTTGGTCGGGTGATGTGTTGCTTTTCCTCTGCTGCTGCCATTGTGGCGTCCCCGGAGATGTCGGGGTTGCTGCGAATGGCGGCCGAGGCAGGATTTGACTTGGCAGCTTGGTCTCAAGGGCTGAACGTGGGGGCAGCACGTGGTTTACATTTAAACAGTCCGCGCTGGAGTGAAGGGGCAGTGAGCGGAATGTGCAGCATGGCGGGGCCACAGGATGGATCTCCAGGGGCGCAGGTCCTGCCGTGGGCTCGGGCGTGCCGCGGGCCGGGCCACATTACCCCCAAGGCCTCCGCTTCCCTCTCAGGAATGCAGGCGGTTAGTCACCAGCCTGGCGAGAGGCCTGTGGATGGGGAAGGTCAGGGAAGCGCCATTAATAACTGTCGGTGTTTCTCTTTCAGAGGAGAATGAGAAGCACGAGAAGCTCCGCCTGGAGAGGGAGCAGGAGCAGAAGGCGGCCGGCAAGGCCAGCGTGCCACGGGCGAACAGTGCCGTTCCCCCAGAGGAGCCCCGGAGCGAACTGCTGGTGCCCATCTCCCCCCCAGCCCCGGCCAGCAAGCAGCCCAGACCACCCTGTCCCCGCCACTCGTACAACGCCACCAGCCCCTCGTAAGCACTCCCAGTGTCACTAAGGAAGCATCTTCGGTTGCGCCGGTCATCCAGAGGCCGCCGGGCCCGCTTCTGCCGGACGGAAAAGCTGCTACACCCCCGTCGGGCAGCCCGAAGCAGCTCCAGCATTACGCGGCGCCGGTCCTGGCCATCTCCCAGCACCATGTCGTTCAGCAGCCCATCCAGCCCCAGCCTCACCAGCCCCTGCCGCACCCGGGAGCGCCCCCGCAGCTCGGTGCTCTGAAGCTGGCTCCAGCAGAAGACACGAAACCAAATGAGCAGAAGAAGAGACCTGGAGGGTGAGTTCATCTTGGGTGTGGAGGCTTCTGAGAGGGACCAGACAAAAGTGATACCGAAAGCTGCATCAACCTGGAGCAGCTACTGCTTTTGCAAAGAGTTGTCAGATCAGAGATACCAAGATCCGTGGAAGTTTGGATGTCTGCTTGGTTTTTTGATAGCAGGGTTTCTTAGCTTGATGTTTTTTGTTTTTCCTCCCTGACTACACACTGTAGGATTCTGTACAAGGATTTCTTTTTCCAAGCCAGAACTGTATTGGGAAGCGAGTCCCAGCGCTGCCTGTCTGATCTCAGGTGGCATCTGGTATTATGTTTGGCAAAAGATCTCTGCTTATTCTGGTCAGGGAAATCGTGCAGCAATGCTGCTTGCAGGAACCTTCTTGAAAACTGGGATGTGTTCTGGGAGGTTTTATTTCCCAGGACAGAGATCTCCTTAGCTGCTGTTTCAGTTTCTTAGTGCTCTAAGTGCTAAGGGCCTCCTGCTTGTTCAAAACTCCTGCAGCTGGAAGGGACTGAAGGCTGTTTAATCTGTCCTCACCCTCGGACAGGACTTGTGACTCTGATGTTGCTCCAGGTTAGTGTTTGTCTAACTTGTTCTTAAGGACTTTGGCTGGTGGAGACTCTGTCTTCTCCTTAGTTGGTTGTTTCCAGACCTCAGTATCCTATTAAGTGGTCTGGTATTATTCCTCATGGACTGGGAGAACAAATCGTTCCTTCTTTGCAGCAAGCTTTTACCTGTTTCCCTTGGCCCCTAAGTCTTCCTTCCTGCAGGATAAATGACCTGGATCTGTTCAGTCTTTCCTCCTGGGCCGCGGTGCCTAGACCTCTGACCGTTCTCCCGACTGCCTGCAGCTGGTAGATAACTGTTTGCGGTGGTGTTTAAAATGGTACGGTAATCCCACGGAGGCTGGGCAGAAAGTTGCTCTGTGCGTCTTGCCTGTTCAGTGCAATAAAGCAAATGCACCCCTGGTTTCAGGGCAGGGGTGGGGATCTGGTCAGGAGTCCAGGGGAGATGCTGCTAGACGAAACGCCAGCCGGAGCCCCTCTTGCTGTGCAGCGTAGCAGCGGCGGCCTTGTCCCGCTCCAGCGTGGCTCAGGCTGCCATGCTGAGATAGACCCAGCAGAGCTGGAGGCCCTGCTGGTCGCCCCGGTCCACCCAGCCTGAACAAGTGCCAGCAGAAGAGACAGACAAACTGCCATCCTTTCCGGGCCAGGGACCTGCTTGGGAGAAATGTTTTGGCCAGGTCAAAATCAGGCCTTGCCTTTTGCTCCCTCCTGGATGGAGCTCAGTATTTTGAATGTATCAGAAGGTCAGGATGTGGCAGTTCACTTTCTTTTCCCCAGGTCCTCTGGTCCTTACGGCGTTTGCTTTGAGCTGTAATGCAGAAGCACCGTAACCCCGTTGTGAGAGGAGCACGAGCGCAGGGCTGTGAGTTGGCGCTGACCTTTCCTGTGGGCGGCCTTGGTGCAAGGAGCGGTAGTTTCAGCATCATCTGGTGGGAGCGGGACGAGATGCAAGATGTAGTGGACAAAACGAGGCTTCATAGTGTCCTTTGGGATGTAGAGGTCCCAAAATGCATAGAAGGAAACAGCAAAAGTAATGTAGATAAGAATTTGTAAAGATAACGGCCTTTGTAAAACGCCAGTATAATTCCTCTAAGATAGACTGTGATCTTTAGAGCTCTGCTCAGCTGCAGAAAGGATGTGTATATTTGTGCTTTAATCGAGCGAACGTGTCGCTGGCGTTGGTGTGTGGGTTCAGCCAGGTGTAGAGGGGGTTTCTGATGTCGTGGGGGTACCAGCGAAGGCTGCAGGGGGCTTTGCTGTCCGAGCAGTGGCTGTCCCGGCAGCAGGCAGCGGGGTGGCTGCGGCCGCCCCAGCAAACTGCTCTCGTGCCGTTGCGCCGAGTTTTGCTCCCGGGAAGCCGGGAGGGCTGTTGTCCTAGTGCAAAGCGCAGCGTCACCGCTGTGTCGGTGCCGTAATCAGAGCATTTTACCGTGCAGGATTTCTAAAGCTCTTGGCATAGGCACACCAGAAAAATACCTGTCTGATGCTGAGCAAGTTGCAGAGGTTTCCTGAAGTGCATTTTGATGGGTTACCCCAAGGCGCGTGCTCCTCGTCTCCCCAGAATTGCTCCTTTAGACGTAAGCAGAGAGAAGATGTCTTTTTCAGCTTGTAAATGTTTGGTGGGAAAAGGCTGTCAAATATTTGTTTTTAAATACCTGAATGTTTATTAAATATTAACATACCTCCCGAAATGCTCACTTCAATGGCGGTGTGTTTGCAGCCAAAGGCAAATAATTACTTTGCATAGTGTATGGAAGATACTTGACATCTCCACACGTCTACTAATGTACTTTATCACCACTGTAGCTGAAAAGCTAAGATAACACGAATTCATTTGGCTTTTCCTAAAAGTATTCCTCTGATTGGGAGGGTGGGGACAGAGCAGAACCCCAAAAAGCAGAAGCTCGCCCTGGTTCTTCCTTTAGCAGTGACTGGAGGATTCCTGGATTACTTCATTCCATATTTATGCTCAGCTGTGTTATTTCAGGCACAGTAAAAATCTAAAGCGGTTTGAAGTATGTCTGCCAAGTCCCGTACACTTTAATTTGAAACTGCATAAATCTTATCCCTCTGGAGTGTAGGCGTAGATCAGAAATGGGTCAGAATCGGGGCTATCTGGGACTGTATAAATACATACAATTCATACTTTGTGACTCTCCCCGGTGTTGATAGTAGCCGTGTCTGTGTGTATATACACACATCCTACCTGTTTGTATCTCGCGTGCAGTATATGCGTAATGCTTATCCCATCCAATATGCATGTAAAGTATGGATTTTATCTTGATAGAGAATAGGTAGAAATATATATGCAACTAATATTAAAACAGTGATATCTGAACACCTCTATTGCTTTCTAATATTTACCTGTATATCCTAGACACACACACACTGCTGAAAGTACAGGCTGAATGGCAGTAGTTTTAAACCTGACACTGAGTTTATCTTTGTTCTGTTTGGGTTACAGGGTTGGGACCAGGGAAGTACATAATAAATTGGAGAAGAACAGGTGCGTAGAAAGCCAGGGGTTTGATTTTTTTTTTTTTTTAATTGTGATTCCCCTTCCTTTTTTTTTTTTTGGCCTATCGTCACTTAACTTTTTTTTGTGTTTCTTTTTGCTGAAAGTACAGGCTGAATGGCAGTAGTTTTAAACCTGACACTGAGTTTATCTTTGTTCTGTTTGGGTTACAGGGTTGGGACCAGGGAAGTACATAATAAATTGGAGAAGAACAGGTGCGTAGAAAGCCAGGGGTTTGATTTTTTTTTTTTTTTAATTGTAATTCCCCTTCCTTTTTTTTTTTTTTGGCCTATAGTCTGTCAATATTTGTTTGGCTTTGGCTTTTTTTTGTTTGTTCGTTTGTTTTTTAACAAATAACCTGAACAAAATTCTTAGTGACTTTTAATGAATCTTGCAGTATTGCTTTGCTTTCTTACAGCTCAGTTCTGCATCTCTTGCTTCCCAGTATGTTTTACTTAACTGCATAATTGCATTACAATAACCTTGCAAAGCCCTGATCCCGCAAAGTAAATCCCCACGTGCATAACGGTGTAATTTCTCTTTTGATTTAAAGTAATAAAATAGCCAAGGTCAGGGGTCAGTGTACAGTGTGAATACAGAATAAAGACCAGTTTCTGATCCAGAACTCTTAAGTCTAACTAGCTAAATTGGAAATACAGTGAAAGTGGAAGCAACAGCACAGGGAGATGAGAGAGTTCATTTAAGATTGCACAATGGTTTCCTAACAAAGCTGGGGCTAGAATCCAGGCATGCAACCCCGTAGTCTTTCTGCTGGATTGAGCTGGTTCAGCTGTGAGCACGCAGGTAGTCTCCGTGACTGCTATGCACATGTGTAAGTGCTTTGCTGGATTAAGGCCCAAATTAAGTTCTAGCCCTCTGCTAAATTGATTTCTGGTGTGTGCTCCCACAAGCTGACGAACCACCTGTGTTTTCTTTAGACGTGCGCATTTGAAAGAATGCTTTGAGACATTAAAACGCAACATCCCCAACGTAGACGACAAGAAGACCTCAAACCTCAGTGTCCTAAGGAGTGCCTTGCGATACATCCAGGTACGTACAGCGCTCGGGTTACTGTTGGCTGTCATTCAGCGCTTCGTCTGCTGAAACCTGAGAACGGTGCTAACTTTGCTTAAGCCAAGTTACTTATCTTTTTCCTGTAGTGCAAAGGAAAAAGGGGAGAGAAAAACTCCCATTCCTCCTTCTCCTCCCATGTGAGCGTAGTCATTTATAAACTCCAGATTTCCAGAACATTTGGATTTTCTAGGAACGCTGGCTTCATGCAGTCTCCTTATACTAGAAGTCCCTAGTTGACCACAAGTCATTCATACCAGTGATGGTGATGCAGTGAATGGATAATTCAGATGATCTTAAAGAGGGACATCCAGGCTGTATAAACTTAAGCTGCTCCTTTTTGGAGTAAGGTGAATTTTAATCCATGTGTTTCATGGAGGTTTTCTGCTTGCCTAACCAAAATGGACAGACTTCTGTGAAGGTTTGGAATGTCTCAAATTTGTGATGAGATGGAGATGTAAGTACGGGTCATTTGCTTGGAGGCAGGGAAAGACTGGAATTGGGGGTTGCAGGGTGAAGCCCTAGGTGGATGGAGTACCGAGAACGAGTCTGGGAGAAAGTAAAGGTAAAATTCAGTTGTGGTGTTTGCAGGTTGAGTGAAGTGATAGTGTTTGCTTATTTAATATTTGTAAAAGTGGTTAATGGTAGCACACAATTGTCCTCTGTGACTGTGAAATCAATAGCATGTAATGCAATTAAAATTCATCTGGAAAATGGAAGAGTTGCTAAATTTATAGTGCAAATGAAGAGAGCCAATAGACCTCATACATTTTGGCTGGAATAAAGGGTGCTGAGGACTGTTCACAGTGGGCTTTTCCACAGTAAAGCATCGTCTTTTTTCCTTGCTTGCTTCCCATTTTTCTCAGTCTCTCTCAAATACCTCTTCATTCCTATGTTCAGAAGTACTGGACATTGATTACTTGCATCAGCTTTACTTTGGAGAGTCAGTAATTACTCAGCACCTTTCAGAGTCAGACGAGCTCAGCCCTTCTCATTAGTCTTCACCGGTGACTTCCCTTGGAGAGCCTTTGGTTGGGGCAAATTCTAATGGTACCCAGCCACTGGAGGATGGCAAACAAAAGGAAAAAATCTATGTTGCTTAAAAAGGTCATTTTTGGAGATGTGGTTGTATTGCAGCCTACTGGGCATTAGAAAAGATGTGAGCCTTTCGTTTGCTTTCAGGCAGGCTGGTGTCGGTAGAGATGAGCTTCCATTAGCGGTAAGGGAGACGGAGCGGTCTGATCGCCCGCTCTCATGTTCGGGATTTGAGTCCGGAGTCAGGATGTCACGAACGGAGCTGTATCTGGCGTGGTAGCTGGTGCTCCGTGAACATTGATACAGGTGCAGACCTATCTGTGAGCAGACTCTGCTCCCTGGCAGCATTTTTATTCTGCGCTTTTAGAAGACAGCTTAAAACTCTCTTTGGGGATGTCGGTGGGGATGGCTGATTCTTCCTCTCCCTGTTCTCTGGATCCATTGTGAAGTGCTTTGAGGCTTAGACACAATGCAGTTTTGTGCTACCTACTGGTGTACGTACCAACATCTCCATAAATTGCTAGGAATTAAACTCTTGTCATGTCCTCTTAGGAAATGTAAACTACTTTTATGATGGTCCAGAAGGTATTCACAGATTCAGAACCACGTTTCGTTTCCTTTAGGTTTCTGCCACTCAGGGTCCGTTTCAGTGCCGCCTCTGAATTGCTCTTCCCAGCATGGATCCATTCTGGGAATCAGAATGGCTGGGATCAGGTCTGTCGACCCGGCTGCTCCGGGGTGCCTGTGCTGTTCTGTGTGCCCACCGTCTGGGGCTGAAGGGAGGTCTCAGGCTGGTGTAATTGCAGTGTATTTAATTATTCAGTGAAGTGAAAATGCAGAAGTTCTGATGGTTAACGTCGCAATATTTGCATCCCAGCGTCGGGGATCGTCACATCGTAGGTTGCTGTATCTGTAGATCTGCAGTTTACCTGCTGCGCTGCCTGTGTGCACCACAGACTTTGTGGCTTGCAGGAGAAACTGCTGAGGAGACTCCTCAGGTGCGTGGTGCCGGTGGGTCAGAAACTCCCAGCTTGCCCCCGTTCCCTCTGGGCTGGCTTCGGGGAGCGCAGGGAGCAGCCCTCAACTTCTCCTGCCAGTTTCAGCACAGAGAAATTGAACTCTCTTGTCCAAATGTCTCTCCTGTCCAAACGTCTCTCCAGCTTCCCGCTCACAGGTGGCCTTAAGGGTGGTGGAGCTGGTTTTGTGGGGGACACGTGGGGTCGGGGTGCCGCAGGAGCCTGGCACTGAGCTGGGTGGGAGAGGGGCCAGGGCGCAGGCGGCTGGGAGCCGGCAAGCTGCAGGTGGGGTGCAGGAGGTGTGTGCAGGAGCAAAATTAAAGCCCCGAGGCCATGGAGTGCCGCAAAGGAGAGCTGCCCCGTCACCCGTGATGGCCAGAGGGTGGCCACAGCACTGGGACAGGGCCAGACCGCGCGCTGCGTCCGTCTGTCTGTCTGTCAGTGGGGTAGCGCTGGGCTGGCGCCGGCAGAGGGGAGGAGGCAGGTCAGGTCGGTCAGCCAGCCTGCGGCCGGACGATCGCCCGCCATGGCAGCAAAGGTCACGGTGACCTCGGGCCTGTCCCAGCCGCCCGCCCTCCCCTCCGGCCGGGAGCTCCCGTGCCAGCGTCCACTTCCATGTGTGCAGCGAGCACATGGCGAGTGCCAGCCCCTGCGTGGCAGGACTGCCCACCCATGGCGGCCGGCGAGCGAGCGGC